TCCACAATCATCATTAGGGTATCTAGTTTAAAAAATGTGTCCGATGACCCCAACCGCGAACCAAGATGGCTGACATGGCTAAAAAATAGTACATAGGGTAAAATGCAGTTTTTGGCTCATATCTCTGAAACCAAAGCATTTAGAGCAAATCTGATGAGGATAAAATTGTTCATAAGGTCAAGATCTATCGGCCCTGAAATTTTCAGACCAATCAGGCAACCCGTTGTTGGGTTACTGCCCCTGAATTGGTAATTTTAAGGAAATTTTGCCGTTTTTGGTTATTATCTTGAATATTATTATAGATAAAGATAAACTGTAAACAGCAATAATGTTCAGCAAAGTAAGATCTACAAATAAGTCAACTTGACCGAAATGGTCAGTTGACCCCTTAAGGAGTTATTGCCCTTTATAGTCAATTTTTAACCATTTTTCGTAAATTTTTGTAATTTTTTACAAAAATTTTCTCCTCTGAAACTACTAAGACACATTTAACCAAACTTGTCCACAATCATCATTAGGGTATCTAGTTTAAAAAATGTGTCCAATGACCCCGCCCACGAACCAAGATGGCCGACATGGCTAAAAAATAGTACATAGGGTAAAATGCAGTTTTTGGCTCATATCTCTGAAACCAAAGCATTTAGAGCAAATCTGACAGGGGGGTAAAATTGTTCATTAGGTCGAGATCTATCTGTCCTGAAAGTTTCAGACCAATCAGGCAACATGTTGTTGGGTTGCTGCCCCTGAATTGGTAATTTTAAGAAAATTTTGCAGCTTTTGGTTATTATCTTGAATATTATTATAGATAGAGATAAACTGTAAACAGCAATAATGTACAGCAAAGTTAGATCTACAAATAAGTCAACATGAACAAAATTGTCAATTGACCCTTTAAGGAGTTATTGCCCTTTATAGTCAATTTTTACAATTTTCATAAATTTTGTAAATTTTTGTAAATTTTTACAAAATATTTTCCACTGTAACTACCGGGCCAAGTTCATTATAGATAGAGATAATAGTAAGGAGCAAGAATGTTCAGTAAAGTAAGATCTACAAACACATCACCATCACCAAAACACAATTTTGTCATGAATCCATCTATGTCCTTTGTTTAATATGCACATAGACCAAGGTGAGCGACACATTCTCTTTAGAGCCTCTAGTTTTATTATACGACCGCAAAAAATTTTTTTTGGATAGTATAATGGTATGATGTCGTCGTCGTTGTCGTCGTCTGCGTCGTCGTCTGAAGACACATTTGGTTTCCGGACAATAATTTTAGTTTAAATGAATGGATCTGTATGAATTTTTTTAAAAAGGTTCAATACCGTATTAGGGAGGTTGGGATTGATTTTGGGGATGATGGTCCCAACCGTTTAGGAATTAGGGGCCCAAAACAAGCATTTTTCTAGTTTCAGGATAATAACTTGTGTATAATTTTTTTGATTGCTCTGAAATTGTACCACAATGTTTAATACCACAAGTAGAAGGTTGGGATTCATTTTTGGGGTTATGGTGCCAACAGTTTAGAAATTAAGGGCCAAAAAGGAGCCAAAAACAAGCATTTTTGTAGTTTCAAGACAATAACTTGTGTGTGAGTGTATGGATCTCTCTGACATTGTACCGAAAGGTTCCATATCACAAAGGGAAGTCTGGGATTGAGTTTAGGGGTAATTGCCCTTAACATGCAGGAATGAGGGCCAAAAACAAGCATTTTTCTAGTTTCCAGACAATAACTTGTGTTTAAGTGAATGGATCTCTCTGAAATTGTACTACAAGGTTCCATACTACAAAGTAAAGGTTGGGATTGAGTTTGGAGGTAATTGTTCCAAGGAGGGATTCAAAAATGGTGGGGGCTTCCAATTTTTTTAAGGGCTTCATATTTTGTTTTCAAAATTTTTACAAATTTCAAATTTTTGAAGTTTCAAGAAGAAAGAAGAAACCTTAAATTGCACAGTATTGCGCAATAGATTTGTAAGATCTTTGTCCACATTTATTTCGTGTCAGAAACCTATATTGTGTCAAAAATTTGATCACAATCCAAATTCAGACAGTATCAAGCTTGAATATTGTGTCCAAATTTGCCCCAAGTGTTCAGGGTTCAACCTCTGCGGTCGTATCAGGCTGCACTCAGAGAAGCATTTTATTCCCCACTCTTTTCCCCATTTTTGATTGATTGATTGATTGTTGCTTGTTTTCATATCATATCATCCAGTGGCAAATATTTTGTGCATATTCAGGATGAGAGCAAATAAACAATTAATGCAATAGGTATGTTCTCTAAGGTAGGTCGACCAGGATGAGAACAAATAAATAATTAATGCAATAGGTATGTTCTCTAAGGTAGGTCGACCAGGATGAGAGCAAATAAACAATTAATGCAATAGGTATGTTCTCTAAGGTAGGTCGACCAGGATGAGAACAAATAAACAATTAATGCAATAGGTATGTTCTCTAAGGTAGATTGACCAGGATGAGAACAAATAAACAATTAATGCAATAGGTATGATCTTTAAGGTAGGTTGACCAGGATGAGAACAAATAAACAATTAATGCAATAGGTATGTTCTTTAAGGTAGATCAACCAGGATGAGAACAAATAAACAATTAATGCAATAGGTATGTTCTCTAAGGTAGGTTGACCAGGATGAGAACAAATAAACAATTAATGCAATAGGTATGTTCTTTAAGGTAGATCGACCAGGATGAGAACAAATAAACAATTAATGCAATAGGTATGTTCTTTAGGGTCTTTAAATGCAGACACCTTGGCACTCCCCCAACACAAGGCATCAGATTGAACATCCTCATTTTAAGCCCCATGGCTGCATATTTATACATCCTACAAGGCAAAACACAGCCCATTTTACCAAAGGTTTTACTTCTTTGGTTTCCCGCTTTTTGAAGGTAGCAGTATATAGTGATGGTCACGTTTCAGTCAGTTCCTCCATCTGTTCCACTTTTGTATTCACTACTTCTACTGCTCCTGAACTACTCGATGTTCTTTTGCACTTAAAAAAATCATATTTCAGTCCTTTATTCAAATGTTGTTTGGGGTTTACATTGACATGAAATGTCTCCATACTACATACAGTACACACATTTGTAACTGCTTCTCAACCTTAACGCATAATTAGAATTTATTGAAACTTTCTCAGAACCTTCTTCACCATATAATACCATCAAGCATCGGGGTGGGTTGTATTTTATTGTGCTCATGGTATATACTTATCATATTAGTTTGTTGTGTATAACTTTCAGTACTGTAGTGTCAGGAAGCCTAAATGAAATGTCTGTCATCAAATTATACATATACAAAGTATAATTAAAATCTTGCCAATTGTTGTGGTTCTAATCAGTGGGGGATCCAGAAATTTTCATAAGGGGGGCCTGCTCCAGTCGTGCTTCAGTGATTCCCTAAATATTCAATCAGATTTTTCCCACAAAAGGGGGGCCCAGGCCCCCTGGAAAACCCTCTAAATCTGCCTGTGCTAATACATATTAACCAGCAGCTAGACAATATTTAACTTATTCTTTTTGATGTTAGAATAAATTGTATAAGTCAATAAGCTGATCAAACATGCAAATGTATTTAGGACTTCAAAAAAATTTAAAATGTAGTGCAAAGTTACGTTTTTGGTTTATCTTTAAGAAAGTTTGTACATACAAATAAGCTTGTAACAAAGTTGACATGTTACTGCTATATCATGCAGGGATGGTACCCATTATCAATATGTTTTTTACAGAACTAGTTGAACTAAGTGTCAAATGGCAAAATGGACTGGTACATTTTTAAACCTCCAATTTCTTATTCCAATATTAAAAGTGATCGTTGTCAGTAAAATGTCACATGACAATCTTTACACCAGAATTTATGTCAAACAGGACATCACCTTACCTTTTCTATTGTTCTTTTATCATAGATGAGGATCTTTGGTTGGCTCCTCATGAAGTATACATTTCTTAGACATGTAGTTAAATATGTGCATGTTTATAGTGACATCTTAAGGTTTCAATTTATATAAAATTGTCTTTACTTAAATTCTTTTACTAATTAGCATAAATTGTTCAAATCATGTTACATAATATTTTAACACAAATATAAGGATTTAAGATTCCATTGGTAGGAATTTATTACAAAATACTATTTCACACCAAGCCACTTATGGTTATAGTGTCCCAAATTTTTCTAATCCTATCTTATTTGTTTAATAAGATTATTGCCAAAAGTTCTAAAGAAGTAGGAGGGCTTAAATTGACCCTAAGTTTTTAACGTTTTTTTAATCAGGCCAAGTTACTCCAAATTTCACAAAGAAAAATAGCAGCTCCTGGTCCAGAATTTTTTTTTCTTCTAGGGATTCCATATGATTATTGGCACCTTTCGGTTACAGAACATTTGGAATGTAGGTAGCAGCCACAGTAAAGCTTATAAGTCAAAAAAATGCACAAAATCATCATATTTTGACAGTTTGTCCAAATTGTGCAGACTTAAGAGCCTAAAATTTACTCTTATGAAGAGATTTGTTTTATCTCAAAAGGCTTTTGAAATTGGTCAATTTAAGAACCAAATTATGGCCTTTTTGATATTTTATGATAAAGTTGAAATTCAAGGCCATATCAAGACAAAAAAAGTCTGTAATAATTTCACACTTCAAGCTTGCTTTCATTAACTTGGAGAATAATCAGTGTATTATATGTTTACCATTTTCCTTCTACCGCAGTGTTTCCTTGATCATAACACTGACCACTAACTAAGCTATAAACATGTTGCAGTAGTTAATACATATTATGCAATAGTACAGTAATTAATACATATTGTGCAATATTGCAATAGTTAATACATAGTACCATGCAGTTGCATAGAGTGTCTATGTTTTCAAAGCTGTACAGGTTTCTTCAAGTGTCTAGTCATTCACCCTTTATTTGTACATTGACGGCTTATGTGTTTAATTTGTGATCATTTTCTTTATCATTATATTATACTTTCATTTCTTTTACAGATCTTCAAAGACAGCATATAACAAGCTCAGACTTGATACCTAATGGCACAGCACATCACGACTTACAGGTCCAACCTGAATCAACGACACAGTTAGATCGAAATCATCTATGTCCAACATGTAGTAAAGGCTTCAAAAGCAAGCAACAGTTAGCTCAACATAGTCTAGTCCATACCAATATACGCAAATATGTCTGTTCATATTGTGATAAAGCTTTTAAACAGTTGTGTCATCTACAGCAGCATGTCCGTATTCATACAGGTATGCTTATAGTATTAAGTGTGACAAAAGTTACATCTCAGGGGCGGATTTAGCAGAGGGCATAGAAGGCTAATGCCCCATTTGATTTCATATTTTGCATAAAATCGTCAAAATGTTTTCTTCTGCTTGCTAGCTTGGCGATATTTTTTATTTACTAAGTGACAGTGACCTATATTTTTTTTTTCTGAATTGAATTTTAATAAAGTTTACATAAGAGTTTTTTTGGTGAGAAACTCTTGACTTAAGCATGTTTATATAAAGATTCGATTCAGTACGATCAAATATAGCCACATGTTGACATTTTAGTTACTGTTAATGATGCCAAATATATCTTCCATTTCAATATTAAATGACTTCCCTGGGATTATAGAGCCAATTGAGGGAACAGTTTTGTTTTCCTTGATTAGATGAGTTTGTATTTTTGATGCTGTTATAAATACAACTTGGCTATCCCTGTTGATAAAAAAACGTGTGGCCAAGGGCGAAACTAGGTCTAGTAACCAGCTCAACTCCATCTGTCCGTCTGTACGTCTGTTCGAAAGACCTTGGGTAGGAAATTTTCATCAAAGTTTTCTTAGCATTTTTTTAAAGGGATTGATTTAATAGTTGGTCTGCAGCTTGATAATGTTGAGTTGTAGCAATTAAGCAATTTTTACATCCATCTAAAGTGAAGCCACTTCCTGTCTACCTATTATGCTATAGTTTGATATTTTTCATCTTTTATTGTACAAGGACAATTTTTGTCAAAGTTTTCTTGGCTCTTGTTAAGGGGAATGATTTAATATTTGGTCTGCAGCTTGATAATGTTGAGTTGTAGTGAGTAAGCAGTTTTTACATCCTCTGTTTGACAATAGTTTGAAATGTTACATCACTCACTGTACAAGGAAAATTTTGGTTAAAGGTTTTTTTGCCTTTATGAAGGGGAATATCTTAATAATTGTCCTGCATCCACTGCACATTCACTTCCTATGTGTCAATAGTTTGAAATTTTACAGTACTCCTTGTACAAGGAGAATTTTTAGAAGTTTTCTTGCCTTCAATGAAAAGGAATTATCAGTTATGCTCCAGTATATTGTTACCTCATTCAATTGCATGCTGCAGGTCCAGACCCGGTATTAGTCTTGTTAAAGTGTATTCTGAAACTTAAATGCAGGTATATATCTCCTGAGTGCCCTATACACATACAAAATCAAGATGAGGCTACTTAAATCCTTGAAAATAAAACTGTCATCATTTTATGTTAGATATACAGCTATGGTTAAATGGAGAATGATTCCTCCTCAATCTAAATGTCACTAGTACTGGTAAATGATTTGTTAGGGATGGCTTTGCAAAGACAAGCTACCCTCTACCTTTTGCAGTGTGGTTGTCAATAGAAATAGAGAGAAATCTTGGAAGTCTTAAGAAAAAGGATAATTGTCAACAATACAGCCAAATGTAAAAGATATCTCAGTATTTATTACTTTTAGAGGGGCACATGGGCAAGAGTAATCCCATTTAAACAAATGGTCCATCACAGTATGTGAGTTTAGGCAATTAAATTGTCAAATAAAAATATATTAGATAGTTTAAATGACTCATTTAATTTGTTAGAATCTATCAAACAATATTTTAAAATACAATACGTTTTTTAGTATTTTTTAGATTTTCATATATTCTTGCCTTGAGCACATGAAAGATACATTAATTGTCTAAATGCACATCTGGTGCAATAAAATTGGTAGTTATTGTTATTATGAAACAATCCCAAGAAGATTTACACCAATTTTAGAGTGATATTGTTTTGAGATAACATAAAGAATTGTTGTCACAGGTTGAATAGAGTGGAACTGTACATTTTTTTAGAATTAAATATACAAAAATAGTTAATATGAATTAAAACAGAACAAATTATTCCATTGTGTTATGTAACATGTCGACACAGTCTGTTGGTTCCGTTATAATTACTTATGTGTGTGACATTCAAGGACGTGGCACTGTGTAAACATGTGCTAATATGAAATTTACGATGGAGATTTTCCTCAAGCTGTAAAAAACCCATAAACATATTCATCCTCATGGTATTTTTATATGTATGACTGGCTCATCCTTATGTTACAACTTCTAAGATATTTGTGGTCTATTTCTTTTTCTGATTTTTGGTTATTTTTTGTCAAGGATTCTTGATTTTGATATAAGTAGGGCATATAGAAATTGAATGGCTTTGCGTTTAAGATTGAGTTTAAGGTTGGTCCAGGGGCTGAAACACGTGAAGGCACAATGAAAATTCAACATTTCTTTAATGGTTATAAATAAATAAATAATATTAATTAAAATTCTTTATTTAAAGAAGGTAATTCATTTAACAATGACATGTTAATCTTCCCTGAGGCCTTCAAAAACTATTAATACAAATAGAAAAAAAAATACTAACAAAACAAAATACATATATAAAGCAGCTTAAATATTGAATAAGCACATATCCATTCAATAGAAGAAGAAAAATACATTAGATTCAGGTATCTTCATTCTGTACAGTTAAAAAATAGTTTGAACATTTGATTTGATGTTAAATGTATCTAAATTATTTATTTCTATAATATTATTTGGCAAATTATTCCAGGTTATAAGACCAGAATATTTAAATGTTCTTTTAAAAAAATCAGAATTAGGTCTTGGTACATGAAGAAGTCCAGAATTTGTTGTCACCTAAGGCATAATTATAAAGATCAGTACAAGCAGTAAATTTATTAGATAGATAATCAAGTGCTAGACCATTCATACATTTTGAACATTAAGACAGCTTATAAATATTGTATCCTCGTAAATATAGTCATCCATTCAAGCTTTTTAAACATTAAAGTTGATGGAAAATCAAAAGAAACAGATAAAACTAATCTTGCAGCACTTTTTTGGAGCTTATGAATCCTTTCCGGATTACAGTTTATAGTAAGACCCCATACTGTTCAACAGTAGTAAATAATGGGTAATATATAGCTATTATAAAAAAGAATAAGATCCTTTGACGGTAAATAACGTTTCAACCGTTTTAACAGGTATATTCTGGTTGAAATAGTTTCACATATTTTAATTTATCAATTTGATTTGACCATGATAGATTTTTATCAATAAGGATTCCAAGAAGTTTTTCAACTTCAACATTATCTAAAGCGATATTATCTTGTAATAAAACACATAAACATTCATTGCAGCTTTCCAGTTTTCTGTCTGGTCCAACAAGCATACATTTTGATTTCTTGTTATTTATCATCATATCATTTTCTTTACACCATTTAATTACATTTTCTAAGTCTTTATTCAAACATGTATTTAAATTTACAATATGCAAAGTTGTATCATCAGCATATAGATCAGATTCTGTATATTCTAAAATTAATGGTAAGTCATTGATATAAACAAGGAACAATAAAGGTCCAAGTATAGAACCTTGAGGAACTCCAAAAGTTACAATTTTATATTCCGATTCAGTGGTTCCTAACTTAACGTTTTGCATTCTCTGAGAGAGGTATGATGAAAACCATTTTACAGAGTGGTCATCACATTTGTATAATTTTAGTTTTGACAAAAGGATATTGTGATTTAGAGTATCGATTGCCTTCTTTACATCTAAAAAAAAAGGATAGCAGTAAAATTTCCATTGTCCAATTCTTCTAACCATTTATCAATTATTTTAATGAGTGCTGTATGACAAGAATGTTTTTCTCTGTGTTATGCCCCCATTACATTCAAATCCTGTATTTGCGCCTGTGGTGAAACAAATGCGAAAATGTCAGAAGCAGGGGTTCACATCCTGCTGAGGGAAGACCACAAGTTTGAAGATTTAACATTGTTGGGATAAATTTCATATGAAGTTATGATAAATGCGTTATAATAGTTAAGCGACAGATGTAGTAAGGTTTGATGAGTACATTAATGTTACTTGACATTTTCAAACTTCACATGTTTATTAAGGAGGAAAAACTGGTTTATCATTGGTAAAAAAGTATTGGGATTTGAAGAGAGTGTGTTTTCTAGGCTTTACTTAAATGCCATTGACGTTTTTTTACTATTGTGTTTTATTTATTAAAAATGTCAAACCACATTTAGATTTTTCCATGATAACATCTATTGTTTAATAGTTTGCCCCAAGATCAATTCAGAAACCATTAATATAAAAACAGTAATAATCTTCTACTGTCTGTTATTTGACATATTATATAGAGCAACAAGTTTACAACTTCTTGCAAAATGACTGAATTTTTACATTAGTTTCTTGAGTTATGTCCCTTGAAAATGAAATGAAAAATCATCTTTTGTAAAGGTTCTGACTAATTATTATAATGTTGCTACAGAGCTTCAATGATATTATATTTGCATGTTTGTAGGTACCATTAATGTATATTCATATGGTGTGGAGATGATTTGCACTCCTGTAAATGTGAAAAAATACATGTGTTGGGATGAGGATCTCAACCCAACCCCCAACATACACACTCGTGCTCACTCATACACTTGTTAATCAAAATCCTGGATCAAATATGCATGCTGCTATACAAATAATGTTCATATGACAAAATGAAATAACATATATACACAAAATCATCAAATTTAAAAAGCCATTGGACTCTTTGCAGTTATCAATCCATCTATCAATTGATTGAAAAAGAGTAGTATAAATATGATCCTCAAAAACAATCTCATTCATGATGAATTACAAATTTATGATGGCTGCTGCCGAAATTCCAATTATCTTTAAGGAAGGTTGGCTTATTTCTTCAATAAAACACAGCAAAACAAATAGTTAAAAGAATAGATAATACAAATGCATAGACAATGGAAAATAGACACTATCACGCACAGAAGCAAAGACAATAGATGATAAACTTAACTTTACCATACACAAAAGCAAAGACAATAGATCAAAGACTATACCATAAACGTAGGCAAAAACTATAGATAAAAGACTATACCATACACAAAAGCGAAGACAAAAGATAAAAGACTTAACCATACAAAAAAGC